CACACAGAACTCATCGAAAACATTAGAGAAATATTCTCCACCTCGATCGGACCTTAACCGCTTTATTTTCCTCTCAAGTTGGTTTTCAACTTCAGCTTTATAGGTCTTAAAATAATTAAACGCTTCAACTTTTGTTTTTAAGAGATACACATAGCAAAACCTGATGGAGTCATCTATAAACGTGAGGAAGTATCTTTTACCGCCTTTAGTCAAAATTCCATTTATTTCGCACAAATCAGAATGGACAAGTTCTAGAGGTGCTAAATTTCTCGCCTCAGCAGCCTTGTGAGGCTTGCGGGGTTGTTTTGATTCAACACATACATGGCACTTAGACTTTTTGACCAAATTGAATTTAGGAATTAAATTTAGATTTGCTAACCGCATAAGACAGCCAAAACTTGCATGACAGAAACATGAATGCCACAAATCCGACTCATCAGAAATATTAGCATAATTCACCATTTTATTACACACATCATGAAGTGATAAGCGGAACAAGCCTCCGCAATCATATCCTTTACCAACAAAAGAACCATGTTTCGACACAACACATTTATTCGACTCTAGAACAATTTTGTAGCCATCTCGACATAGCATAGACACACTAACAAGATTCTTCTTGATGGAGGGCACATGCTGCACGCTCTTCAATGGCACCGTCTTCCCCGAAGTAAACTTCAGAATGACCGTACCAACACCAAGAACATGAGCACGCGACCCATTTCCCATCAACAAGGTGCCAAACCTCTCGACCTGGTAGGAAGAAAACAGAGAAACATCAGCACACACATGAATATTTACACCACTATCCATCCACCACTCAGGTGAATTACATACTGAAAGAACAAATGGTAAAGAATTACCATACCCAGATGCTCCTTCTCCAAAGATCGAGGTGACAACATTTGCTGATTTCTTTTCCTCGCTTGAACTTGCGCTCGTGGCACTCACTTGCCCAAAGGTCGTGTTCAACGCCACAAACAAAGCAGCCCTCCATCTCTCTTGTTGTTCTTCTTCTTTTTAAACTGTGCTGTTTGAACAGGCTTAGTTGTGTTCTTTTGCTTGTTCGGTTTTTTCTTCTTTTTTTATACTTGCGGAATCGAGTTTTCTCTTCGTACCACATTAGCAAGAGAGGTCTCAACACTCTTTCCATTGTCTTTTGCTCTCGCTCTCTCCTCAACATCAAGAGTACCAATGAGCTCTTCAACATTGAACTCCTGTCTCTTATGTTTGAGTGAGGTAGCAAAGTCCTTCCAAGAAGGTGGTAACTTGACGATTATACCGCCAGCCACAAACTTGTCAGGTAAGACACATGGAAAGAGCTCAAGTTCCTTAGCTAGTGCCCTTGAATCTCATGAGCTTGTTCCACTACTGATCGGTTCTCAACCATCTTGTAGTCATACAAATGCGCTCCATGAGGTGTGTATTACCAAGTGGTAACTCCAAACTTTCCCACAAGTGCATCCCACCTCTTTCCCCAGTAGAATGGATGATATAGCTTTTACGAATTTTGGATCAAGTGCGCTAATCAACGCACCTCGAAAGAGGTTTTCATCAGCCTTAAACTTAGCCTCATCCTCAGGAGGCAAGTTAGCAGGTTTGCCCTCAGAGATATGATAACATGACATTGCAGTGAGCCACAATTCCATCTTAGCTCTCCAAATCAAAAAGTTTTTACCATCAAAAGGTTCAGGCTTTAACACAATGAAAAAAATCTCTCGACGACTGCCTATAATTAGGTTTTTAGATTGTTAGGATAATATGCAATTTCCATGTCATTTTAATTCCATAAATTAACAGCATGATGATGACATATAAAGAATTATTAATCATTGAAGTCATGATATCGATTATATCCAAGGTAAAACTACATGCTAGATCATATATCATGTGAAACATATGAAGATCATGAATCATAACAAAGAGAAACACATGGAATGATATATATTTCATCCTCAATAAGCATAAAGCTACATACTTTCAACAGGATCAGAAAGCGAGGAAACACATACGTGGAGCATATATCTAGCGAGAATGTGACATAAGATATCTTATGAAACGACAAGACTTATATAAAATAAAATGATGGACTCTCTTGAACCATGTAGAACGTTAATTTGAGAAAGATGAAAAGATCATACCCTCCCATCCGTAATTCCGAAGTTCCAACTTCCTTGACATGCCGTAGGAGAAGAAGATGTTCCCTCGCCAGAAGAAGATGGCGACGTCGGCGATCGTGAAGAAGACGACGGCTCTTGAGCGATCAGCGTAGATGCTCCCCAAAAACCTAATTGCCGATCCCGTTTTGCAAGGTCCCGAACGACAAGGGCTTCGGAGGCACATTGCCTCTCGCTCCTCCGTCTTGCGCGAGTTACGAGATGAGGAAAGCCATCGAGCAACTCAATCTTGATTCTGAATACGTGTGTTCTCTATTTAACTGGAGTTGGAAGACTTTTACGGAGGCATGCGCCTTAGAAGACCGAGAGACTCCGGGAGATCGAGGAGTCAATTTCTTAGAGTTGAAAACTCCCGTGGTTAGTGGATGCTAAAAGTTAACACGCCTAGCCACGCCCTCCCGAGCCCGGGCGGCCCAGGCCCGGCAGGCATGCTGCGGTGCAACGCCTTTGTCCATTTCTCAACTTCTCAAATTAGACGGATCAATTCCAATCATTTTAATTGAGTCAACGTCCTTTTAACTTCCAATCCGGTACAAATAATAATACCCACAATTACAAGCCATAGAGTTATTGATTTATTAGATATATAAATGGGCCTAGCCCATAATAAATCCAACAGGAAACACATTAGAATTGCCTTCTATGCGACCAATAATTGGAAACTAGTGAGCACTTGTTCAATTTGTCCATTGTCTGCTTCTTCTTGCCCAAGTTTGGTTCTGGTGTTGTGTGCTCTTAGCAAACTAACCGATGGCAAACATGAACCAAGGTAACTCCCTCTAGCATTGGTGGCGAACTCTAGGGAGCAACTTGATGGGGCCTCTCAGGAAGGATTTGACTCACTGTTTGCCTTGTTCAATTGGTGCATCTGGAAAGAACGGAACACGAGATTGTTTAATCTTGAGGTCACCTCCGTCACAGATCTGCTGGCTAGAATCAACTCCGTGGTTCAGCTTTGGATCCAAGCGAGAGAGATGAAACTAGAGTCCCTGGTCCATACAGCTAGATGGAGTTAGGTTGTGTAGTGTTGGCCTTTTTTTTTAACAAAAAACGAATAGAAACTCTGTCTTTCAATTAAGAGAGAAAAGAGAGTTCAAAACACAGTACATGCTAATTTCAAAGCCCAAAGGGATCCAGCAACACATCCAAAACCCAAAGGGAAATGATCCGAGGGTACAAAAAATTGAGCCTAAAGAACTTAGAGAAGAAGAACGGGAGCCACGACATAAAAAATCTAATGCTCGAATATAATGAAACACACTTTTCGATTGGTTGATGTCATCTTTGGCTGTCCGGGTCACCCGTAGAGCTGATTGGAAACTATATTTTAAAAAATCATTTAGCTTTGTTCCTTCCATATATCTAGATTGCCATGCCAATATGCTATTGAATTGTTGGTGGTGCTTTTTGGGGAGTTAAATCCTAAACTTGTCGCGCCATGTGAGGTCTCATTCTTTTATGGTCCTCAAACTTTCAAACCGCCTACGAAAGGTCCCTAAACTTGCTAATCAGTTCATGTGAGGTCCCAATCATCATGTGTTAGCGTTAAGCTGCCTGCATGGCTGCTGACTGTGCACCCGACAAGCAGGGCCCACATACCAGTCCTTCCTCTCTCTCCCTCGCCTTCCCCTGCACGTGGCCTTGAAGAAGCGGGAGTAGGGCATGGGCGCGCACGTCGCCGGGGACACATACACGCCACGGTAGTAGTAGCCGCTGCGGAAGCCTCACACGTGCTCTTGCACGCCAGTGTGGCCAGCGGCGCAGCGCCGCGGCCGGAGCACTCAGTGCTCGAGCCATAGTCGGCGATGGCGCATGCGAAGGATCCCGAGTCAGCGGTCGTGGTGGCGGAGGGCCTACGCGCCCAGATGCGGCCCGACCACGACAGAAAACCAGATGTTGAAAGGAAGATATAGGCCTTGTTTAGTTTATCTCCTAAAGCTTATTCCCTATCCCATCGAATGTTTGGACACGTGCATGAAATATTAAATATAGATTAAAAATAACTAATTGCACACTTTACGATTAATTTGCGAGACTAATTTTTTAAGCCTAATTAGTCCATGATTTGACAATGTGGCTTAATAAATTTGTCTCGCGGACTGACGGATTCTGTAATTTGTTTTTTTATTAGCATCCGAACACCCCATGCAACACCCCATATACGACATTCGATGTGACATCTCAAAACTTTACACCCTGAATTTAAATAAGGCCATAGATGAATAGTGAGACAGGCAGTTGATCTGCTGATGGCCATGCTGGCCCAGTCTCCCAAACAGATTGGCAGTTCCATGGTGACCGGTGATTAAGTGAACTCGGCTAATCAGGGCCGTTCGTGTGATCCGAGCTGTTGATATCCGACCCGGCAATCCTGGAAACATAGGGCCCGCCGGGCTCCGGCAGCTCCGGATCCTCTAACTTCCTGCTCATCTCCTGTTCATCAAACATGTTTTCTCTTTCCTCTTTCTTCTCTCTCACTAACAGCGCCGGAAGCGGAGAAACTCGTTTTTTTACTCCCCTAGCTTCAGCTCCTACGCGCTACAGTGCGCTACCGTGTGGGAGGGGAGACCGGCCAAACGCGCCCATATTCAGATAGCAGCTGCTGTCTGCATAAGCACATGTATTTCAGCATAAGCATGACATGCTCTGTTCACGCATCATCTTTCCTGCAATAAGCAGTTTGGCCTCCCCGTCTTGTTGCAGATCGCGATATATGTCAAAATGACAAATGGTGCCCCAGATGGGAACGTCATCGGTAATTGCCTAGGCAGGCAAGGCGCAGGCACAGAGTCACAGAGACAGTGCGTGCCCAGTTTCAGCTCGATGGCAGTCAGTTCCTGCTTATCTCCTGCAACTGCAACCCGGCGTCTTCGAGTGCTGGCTCCACCCAGCGCAGTACCGGACGCGCCTCTGCAAGGACGAGGTCGGCTGCGCGAGACGCATCTGCTTCTTCGCGCACAAGCCGAGGAGCTCCGCGCCGTCAACCCCTCCGCGGTCTCCGTCGGGATGCAGCCCACCGTGTCGTCGCCGCACTCCTCGCCGCCCAACGGCCTCCACATGGGGGGCGGCATGCTCAACCCGGCCTGGCCCTCCTCCCCGGCCAGCAGACTCAAGAACGCGTTCGCCGGCCGGGAGCTGGACTTCGACCTCGAGCTGCTCGCGCTCGACCAGTACCAGCAGAAGCTCTTCGACCAGGACCGTGCCGGACTACACGGACCTGCTCGGCTCCGTCGACCGGCGATGCTGTCCTAGCTGCACGCGCTGTCGCTCAAGCAGGCCGGCGACATGCCGGCGTACAGCTCCATGGCGGACACGCATCTGCACATGCCGACGTCGCCCATGGTCGGCCCCAACACCGTGTTCGGGCTCGACCACTCCATGGCCAAGGCCATCATGAGCTCCCGCGCCTCGGCGTTCCCCAAGCGCAGCCAGAGCTTCATCCACCGCGCCGGCCACGCGCTCGCTCATGTCGCAGCAGGCCACCACGCGTCCGGCACCGACGCCATGGCCATAGCTCGCTACCCCGTGTCCTCAATGTACTGCGCCAGTGGGCCCCACCCGTCGGGTGCACAGTCAGCATCCGCAGTTTAACGCTAACAGACGGTGATTGGAATGGTCGGTTCGGCTGGTATTAAAGTCGGCTAAAGCTATTTTTGTTGTGAGAGAAAAATACTATACATTCGATAAGTCGACTGATAAGTTTAAACGAACAGACCCGGAACCTCACATAAACTGATTAGCAAGTTTAGGGACAACCTTTAACAGGGAAAAGTAAAATTTGCGGTTATATGCACGAATCTCAGAGCGAATTTGATGGTGCACAGCAGCAGAGCACATGCCCTTAAGGGGAAAAAAACTGTCTTCCCTTTAATAGGCACTTTCGAAGATTTGAGGTCCCAGTTGACACAGCGCAACAAGTTTAGGACCTGAGTGTATTTGACTCTTTTAAGACAAACTGGGTGTTTGTTTCAAAATAAAAAAAGTATTCTCTGTGTTCTAAACAAACGGGCAAATGTGTAATTCATCTACTGGTACAGCACATATGAATCCAGATCAGTTACAAATGGGACCCACCTCATGCATTTCCCGTAGTCGAAGGGGAGCTTTGGCCATGCACATAGCGTGGCTAAGATGGACAAGACTTCCACGGTGTATACCACTACTGAAAAGGGTGTCGCTAGAGCAAGCTTGTACGTATAACTGGGAAACGCATCCAGCGAGTTTGCCGGCCGTCACATGTTCTGCAAGGTGATCTTTGATCTGACATATATCCCCAGGTAACATTGCAACCTGCAACATTGCTCTTAGAACTCCACCTCTCCATTGTTGCAAGAAAGCAAGAAGAAACAACCATGGCGGCGCATGTCCTCGTCGTGCCCTGCCCCACCCAGGGACACATGAACCCCATTGTACAGTTCGCCAAGAGGCTAGCGTCCAAGGGCGTGGCCACCACGCTCGTCACCACCCGCTTCATCCAGAGGACTTCCGGCGTGGACGCGCACCCGGCGATGGTCGAGGCCATCTCCGACGGCCACGACGAGGGAGGGTTCGCGTCAGCCGCGGGCGTCGGCGAGTACCTGGAGAAGCAGGCGGTCGCCGCGTCGGCGTCGCTGGCGTCGCTCATCGAGGCGCGCGTGTCGTCGGCGGACGCCTTCACGTGCGTCGTGTACGACTCGTACGAGGACTGGGTGCCGCCCGTGGCGCGGCGGATGGGCCTGCCCGCCGTGCCTTTCTCCACGCAGTCGTGCGCGGTCAGCGCCGTGTACTACCACTTCCGCCAGGGGAGACTTGCCGTGCCCCCGCCGCCGCCACCGGCTGCGGACGGCGGCGACGGTGGTGCCGCTGCTTCCCGGAGCGAGGCGTTCCTGGGGCTGCAGGAGATGGAGAGGTCGGAGTTCCCGTCGTTCGTGTTCGACCATGGGCCGTATCCGATGATTGCCAAGCAAGCGCTGAAACAGTTCGCTCATGAGGGAAAGGATGATTGGGTGCTGTACAACTCGTTTGAAGATCTGGAAAGCGAGGTTAGTGTTAATCACGAATTGGAAGATTTCGTTTAATCAGTTCAATTCTTTGAAATGGACTAAGGATCTTGAATTCTTGACCACTTGTTCATGTGCCAAGGTTTTGGCTGGACTGACAAACTACATGAAGGCCCGAGCCATCGGTCCGTGCGTGCCGCTGCCCGCCGCTGAAACGGCCGGCGCCACTGGCCGCCGGATCACCTACGGCGCCAACCTGGTGAACCTGGAGGACACTTGCATCAGGTGGCTAGACACCAAGCCTCACCGCTGCGTGGCCTACGTCTCCTTCGGCAGCTTCGCGTCCCTCGACGCCGCCCAGACGGAGGAGCTCGCCTGCGGCCTCCTCGCCGCCGGCAAGCCTTTCCTGTGGGTGGTGAGGGCCACCGACGAGCACCAGGTCCCGCGCCACCTCCTGGACGAGGTGACGGCGTCGGGCGCCGCGATGGTCGTGCCCTGGTGCCCGCAGCTGGACGTGCTGGCTCACCCGGCCGTGGGCTGCTTCGTGACCCACTGCGGCTGGAACTCCACGCTGGAGGCGCTCGGCTTCGGCGTGCCCATGGTGGCGATGGCGCTGTGGACGGACCAGCCGACCAACGCTCGGAACGTCGAGCTCGCCTGGCGCGCCGGTGTGCGCGCGCGCCGCGACGCTGGCGCGGGAATGTTCCTGCGCGGGGAAGTCGAGCGGTGCGTCCGCGCCGTTATGGACGAGGGCGAGGAGGCGTCTGCCGTGCGCAACGCGGCGGGGAAATGGAGGGACAAGGCTTGCGCGGCGGTGGCAGCCGGCGGCAGCTCTGACCGGAACCTGGACGAGTTCGTGCAGTTTGTGCGCGCCGGCGCCATGGAGAAGTGCAAGGCGCTGGTTTGAAGGGAGGTGAGATTGCAGGATCCGAGATGTGAGTCATGTGACGAGGCGATGCAAGGGATTGCATAATAATAATACAGTTTATATACTTGGTTTGGTTTGGTTTATATGCTTCTTTTGCTTGAAGCTTCTACCATAATAATAATACACTTTTTTTATTTTATTTAAAAAAGATACATTTTTTTTACAGTTTTCCTACATCGTGCCTATGTGAAAATACAGTTTTTATGTGTATGTGGAGAGCTTGCAGAAAAGTATGGGTTTATTGCTAGTTAAAGATGAAGAGCAAGATCTCTAGACTACACATAATAAATAGAGAAACTATCGAAGAGTGAAATATATAGAGATCGATTAATTTTATTCAAAAACTCTCTATATGATGATTTACGGAACGAGTTGAAGAAGGACTCTTAAAAATACTCTTAGACTTAATTTCATAGACAATACCTTGGCGACATTTATAGACGTGGATGCCCATCTCTGAAAATAAATATGGGTGCCTAGTGCCTTTAAAATTCAATTTTGTAGTAGCACGTATACCCCTCTCTATACCATTGGGTTGAGGTAGCTGACTTGTAGTATACCCCTTGTCCATACCATTGACAGTACCCTACTATTTTTTATGAAGCAAACGTGCAAATGTTTTTAACATCCAATTTTATACTGTATAGCTAAATTCAAAATTTTCATAGTGTATATACATTTGAATACAGACCAGCTACATTGTCACTTTCACCTGAAAAGGTTCACACGTTTTCCAATCCCTTCCAAATCAAGCACGTGCTTTATAAAAAATCAAGCACATACCACTCTTGAATCACCAGAGTGACCATCGATATTCATATATACAAATTTATAATAACTAGATGAGTGGCCGTGCGTTGCAACGGGTGCAACATAAATTGAATGAGATATTTGTTAGCCAAGTCAAAATCAAGAATATATCAATTTAAATTTTCACATGTATTATACCATGATAATGTCTAGAAATACATTTCTTATCGTAATAAATCTGAAATAAAAGTTAGGCTTGAAGCTTGTTGTCTGAAAGTTACGACAAACATCAGTTGCCTCAAAGACTGAAAATTTATTGCTAGACATCGAATTGAATTTATCCATGCTCTGCCTTACTAAAACATATATACTCAGACTTACAATATCCTAGCCTGCACGAGGCATGGCAATAATTCATTTTTGGGGAAAAAGTATTTGTTGTCAACACGCAACACGAAGGACGACGAAGGAGATTTGTATCACGATCATGATCATTGCGTGGTGATATTCCAATAAATTCTTTTCTCTTCCCATAATTCTCTTTCCGTTTTATTCTATTTTATTTACTAGCCTTTCAGTGTCTTCATGCGGTGATTATTTGCATGCCGGTGATTCAGTGAGTTTTATTCCATTTTATTTACTTGCCTTCCATCATGCGGTGATTATTTGTCTGCCGGATATGGATCGCATGAGTGTTTTGATCCTGCTAGTTAGATGTTGACAATCCATATATTTTAGTTGTATATAGATATATAGATATAGAGATTGTTTACACCAAAATTTGGAAGGAGAATCACATGGACCCAGAAGCTACCAGGATCGTATCATCATGGGATCAGTTGCGGGCGGATCAGAAACAGCTGATTCAGATGCAAAATCTTGGAATCGGCTTTCTTCGGACAGTGCCAACAGATAACGACGGAGGCTACACTCGACGCCAGGACGAAAACGTGTTGGACTCTAAAAAGGAAAGATTAAAGTCTAATTTATCTTAAATTAGGAATGTTTTCTTTTTATATCAAAGATTATAATAAATCGTGCTCGAGTAGGATTCATGTCTAGACTCTGGGTATAAATATCAAACCCCGGCTATTGTAAGAGGGAACGAATCAATCAAATACAAGTCAATTTACTTTTTTTGGACTTCGGACACCTCTTAGGAGTAGGAGTAGAGTAGATCTCGGTGAGTTCTTCAGCAAGTACGGCTGCATCGATCCGGTCAACCTCTCACTGCTTGTCTGTAAGTACCATCATGGTTTATACCTCTGTTCGTATGGCTGCATCGATCCGATCGACCCCCACTGCGACTCTGGTATAGGCTAGTTATTGACTCTTGCCTAGTTTAAGTATGGCCTGTGTGATTCTGCCTCACCCCACTGCTTGAACTAGATCAAGGTCAAGTTATCGGCTCTACCTTTGAATGGCAGTCTTTGGTAGATTCATTAAGTTACCGATATTTCTTATTGCTTTCATTGTTTATCTAATTACAGCAATATCACTCTGCCCGATTGATATTGATCTGAATCGGCCTTATATCTTATTTAACCCATCGTTTGCTAATCTAAAACTGATCTAATCTACATTTTAAACGATGA